AGTAACGTAACGGAATACATTACAGAATACATTTTGGGGCATGTATTCTGTAATCTGTAATGGAATACATTTTAAAAGTAACCTTCCCAACACTGATTATAACCAACATTTTGTACTGACACTGTGGAGTAATGTCACTGTAGCTGGAAAGAGTTTGTGTTTGTGTTCTTTAGATCATCAAAGCTTTAATTATTTATTACCTCAGATTCTCAGATTAAATTACATGGACTACTTGTATTCTGGTGGACGTTTGTCGATGTAGTCGCATCAAAAAAAAATGATGGGCCGACCAGTTTTTCCCACTAGAGGGTGGTCATGATGTTTAGCCAACACCTTTCAGGCAAGCCTGTGAGTTAATTGTGAAATGTACTTTGTCTTAAAGTGCTGATTTTTAAAAAAATAAAATAAAATAAAAATATATGTATACAAAATGTCTTTGTCTGTAATCCTTCAGTCAGAACCTTCTCAGTGGAGACGTACCCTTTTGCAAGTCGCGCTCACAGGATGTAACTTAAAAGCTTCTTTTGCTGTTAAACTGTAGGAGCATGGCATCCCTGTGCCTGTGACCCCTCAGGCACCTTGGAGCATGGACGCCAACCTCATGCATATCAGGTGAGCAGGACTGGTGTGATGCATCTTCTTAGGCTCTTATTTCGGAATCTTTGATTTTATTTTATTTTTTCCAGAGAGAAACTTTAATTGTTCAAATTTCTTTACAGCTATGAGTCGGGCATCCTGGAGAATCCCAAGGTAAGCTCGCAATATTTAATAAAAGGAAACATAATTCATCATTTTTTATATTTAATCCTGCGGGGACTTGTGTTAAATTTGAATTTATATTAAAGCTGTTACAATATAATACTTGTTAACTAAAGAAGTGCCTTCTAATATGCTGTTCTGTAACTGTTCTAAGAAATTGTGCCGACTGTCTGAGACATTTTTTTCTAACCTTCCTCACTGACACCCCTGTTCAAGCCTGTAAAAACAAGAGCTTATCAGAAGAGTTTTGCACAGGTGCAAAAACAATTTAAGTGAACCTGAAAAGGTAAGGTAAGGTTTTGCCTAAACTTCTGAAGGATGACTTCATCTTCAGATCGGTACCTGTTCTTGAAATCGATCGTGAGAAATAGAAAGAAACCTGCATAAGCCGCTTGACGGTACATCTCATTTTTGACCATTGTGAGTCATCTCTTGAGCATCCATCTCATGTGCACACACCGAGCTAACAGACCTAATGCTGCGTTTTTGTGTGTACGTGTGGTTAAATGTGTCAGACACTCGGAGGGACACATCAGTAAACCTTCCCTTCAGTCTACTGACCAATGCCAGCCCTGCCAGAGACAAACATGACTCACTCTCCCACAGTGCCATGGGTGAGTCAAGGGTTTGATCTCTGCAAGGTTAAAGGTCATGACCAGATACGCTTCGAGCTAACATGCTATGCCCTCTACCCTGAGGTCAAGGTGAGTTTGTTTATTTATTGTGTGGATGTAATTTACTGACAC